CTTTAAAAAAGTCCCGCTGGGTTTCTTGCTGATTCTTCTCAGGACAGATTTTTTTATAAAACTAGTGGTAAAATAATAAAAAATGCATTTGAATAAGAATTACATGTAATTAATATTGAATAATAATCTATTTTATTCTATTATAATCATTTGTTTGTCCTGCAGTTTTGAATACGTTAGATAAAGACGATCAAGATCAATTGGCTTCCAAAATAGTGTAGCCCATTCCACACCTATGTGTGAAGTGTTTCAATTTCGTCCCATGCGGTTTTTATTTTTATCAAAAATGAAAGACTTCTTCAAACTTAATCGTTTGGCCGTGAAACGAAATGCAAGATCTCCCACCGAGCCAGGTGATCAGTCCGGTGAGCAGTCAACGCACCGTGTTGGATTGGAATAAAATTATCCTATGCTATTCTATTCGTAACATTGACAGCGTGATTTAGACTTCGTTGTGTTTTGCTTGTCAGCGCTATCATATCATCTCCCTGCTCAGACCGAAGTTCGATAGTGGAGTCTGATTGCCTATGTGTACTAAATGCCGGTGGGAAATGCATTTTGTGAGCGTCAGGGCAAGTGATGCTGCTGCGAACGATATTCCGGTGTGTAATGCATGACATACTGCGCCCTTGCAAGTGATGATGGTGAGAACGTTGGGCCGGAGCAGGTGCCACATGTCTGCCTTATAAATCTGCGGTGAATTGAGTTGAAGACAAGTGGAACTAGCTTGTAGGGGCTGAAGACTACAGGAGAATATCTAATCGGGAGCGAATTGATGGGGTAATCGAGAACGGTGACAAAAGCTTGAAGTTGAGGTTTCGTAGGGTTGCATTTTGCATGTTGACATCACGTCGGTTAGTCACCTCTTTCGCCGTTAATAAAAAGAAAAGATCTCCTGCCGAGTAAAGTGATTATCCCGGGGAAAGTGTATGTTTGGATCTATTCTATATCACAAGAGGTTTGACATATACGAAGCCAGAAGAGACCGTAATAGATTTCAATCAGCACGCGAAAAATATGCCACCAGACCAATGGTTATTATTTATCCAAAATGACAAATAACACGTCAATAGTTAAGTGGTGGATGTCATGACTTTCCGAATTTGCACTCATATAACCATATCCATAACCTATTGAATATCTTATGGTTACTTACTATCGGAATAAACGAATATATATATATATATATATATATATATATATATATATATATATATATATATATATATATATATATATTCATCATTACAGCCCTTCACAAGTTCACTGCTGAACACAGGTCTCCCCCAAGATATGCCACAAAGCACGGTCCTGAGCCACCTGCGTCCATCTACTTCCTGCATGTCTTACCAGGTCGTCACTCCATCTAGTGGGGGGTCGTCCTACACTTCGCCTACCGGTACGACGTTGCCACTCGAGAACCTTATAATTATTAACCTTAATATAACGTGCAACGTGGCAGATATTATATATAAAAGGCACACACACGTGTGTGTGTATGTATAATTTCTTATTTTAAAAGGCAATATTTGTTAAAGTACCCTTTTATCATCTTAAAGAAGAAAAACTAAATAAAGTTTGTGCATAAAACTCTTTTTATCTGGACGAAAACTAGCCTAGTGGGAACTGAGACCGTAACCGTAAACTGCTTTAGAATTGAAAAATTATTCTTGCTTATTTGCATTTTAAAAGAAACTAAAATATTACGCTCATTATTTATAAAATTGTTCTCAATCATATAAAATATTAGCTGTTACCCGCGGCTTCGCCCACATGATCACTGGGAAATGAACTATCCATTGCTTTTTGAATTGAAAGAAAACTGAGTTTTATAAATTTGTCAGAGATGCCATTATAAGGATACTGAGCAATATTGATTCGTCAGCCTGTTTAAATGTTTTGAAACGCAGCGTATAAGAAAGCATAAAAATAGCCTGTTTATTCCAAATGGAAATGGGATATTTTTAATTAAAGGAAACTAAACATAATTATCCGTCAGGGATGCAGACTTTTGAAAAGAAACTGAGCTAAATTGATTCGTCAGAGTCAGTTTTCTGAATTGAAAGGAAACTGAGCCAAATAAAAGATTCGTCAGAGATGCGCCTTTTGAGTTGAAAGGAAACTGAGCTTAATAGGTCCGTCAGAGGTGCAGCATTTAGAATTGAAAAGAAACTGAGCTAAATAGGAAAATTTGAATTGAAAGGGAAGATCCGTGGGAATTCTGATTAATTGATTGTGGGCATTTTGGAAAAAAACTTACTAAACACTATTTTAAGACGCTACTGTACACAATGTTATATGTTTTTCCATTCGGGGAAAGAATGTGGAGATTCTGGGCATTTGACACACGCGAACATGCTACATACAGACCAGAGAGAAGCACGGTTTTTCTAAGTTGACCCCCGCTACCTGTAACGTGTGCCCTTGCGCTTTATTAATTGTCATTGCAAAACTGAGCTTAATAAGGATCTGCAACCTTTTGAATTGAAAAGGAAGATCTGTGGGAATTATAGGGATCTGTGGTATAATAACATATTCACCTATTTCTACGCCTGTCAAAAGTGTAGCACCGATTATCTTCTGTCAAAGATGTGTCACACGCAGCCTTGTCCCGTTACATAACAGAAGAGCATCTAAATTTCGCATTAGCATGACTGGGACGCCTAATTTTAATTGAAGCTTATGTGAGGGCACACCTGACAACTCTAGAGAATTTAGAAATTCTACGGGATATGAAGTGCTCTGTTATGTATCCATAACTGTGTCTACTGACAAATACTCTGTTATTTCTCCTACTACTTCGCTTAATATATCTGAATGTATTTTGTTAACGCTCTCATTTTTGATGCAAGAATCGCCCTTTCACATAACCATTTGTCTTCATGTATGTTGTTCGTTAAATCTGAAAAAACGCTCGCAATTAATTCGGAATGACTCTGTACTAAATTACAAAAATCTCTCGTCAATTTAAAGCAGCACTCAGCATCCGTTTCCAACCATCGAATTTTTGATAGTGTGCCAGCATAGTTTCCAGTATTGATATCATTATATAAATGCACTCTAATTTTCGTAGTTAAACTGAATTTTGTCACCTTGTTCCATAAAATAGACGACTTGAGGCATGCTTTAATTTCATCTGCAGGAAAGTGTCTATGTGTAGCTTTCCTTTTTGAAATGACGGAGGGTAAAGGCGGCACCGCTTAGCAGCGTGGCGGCTATAACGGTGGAAGCTACGGCCGTAGCAATGTTTTTATCTTTCCGTACTTGCGCTAATAATAAGTTTAACAAAAATGTCTTCCCAGTTCCTCCAGGGTCATCTAAAAAGAAAAGTGCACCATTTCCAGATCCAATTTGTCCTAATACTTTGTCAAAAACTCGTTTTTGTTCGGGAATCAAGCGGGGTACAAATTCGGCTACTTGCTGATGTAAAGCTGGTATATCGTAATTTGTTTCATGTATAATTTCATCACTTAGTTAATTTTCGGTTGTTCGCTGAGGGCTAATCATTCCAAAGTCGCTTAACTTTTTTGCCGACCATTGCAATTACTTTATCTTCAATTTTTTCAAGTGCTTCATTATAAATGTGTTCATTGTATGTCATGTTCGCGTGTGTCTGTTGTAACCTTTGCAACATATCTTCCGCCATGTACTCTTTATATTTGTCCCACAAGTCATGTGCATTAGATAGCCCGCAAGATGATATAAGAGTTGCATAAAGATCCCTATTTTGGCTGGTGACTGGCACTGCGCAGCTTCCTCCATGGTTTCATCCCAGTGATTATCGTTTTTTAAAAGATGCAGAGCTTCACATGCTTCTCTATAAGTTGCGCATTCCTGACCGTTGAAAGTTTTAAGGTCTTTATGTTATGTAGGACCCCGAACATGGTTCAGCAACAATCGTAAACAGAAATATTCAAAATTAGTTACATGGACGGTATACACACGACCAAGGTCATCTGATGACTTTACACCGAGCCAATTTGCAATAGGCGCGCCTTGATTACGGCGTTTACACTCTTTCCTAGATGTGTTCCAAGTATAATAGCGGGGGACTTCAGAATATAACAACGTTTTTGCAAAGGGTTCGGTTTGACAAAGTTGAAAGAAGGCTGTTAGTGTAGTTTTTGGCGGTGATGCAATTCTTTCTTGGAAATTTCTTTCGGATAAATATACACGCTTCAATTTTCTAAGTGCACAGCGAGGTGCCTCGTTACTGCTGACATAACGCCATGCTTGAAAGGTCTGTATTTCATTAACGGGATTTGCCTCACCTTAACTCCTGAGATTAAAATATTGCTTGGTCGCTTCCTATATTTATGTACTTACAGATATACTAGATTGCGCGGACAGAGCTACATGATTCTACATTAATGTGGGCATTAAATATTTTACGTAGAAAGGGCGAATACGGGACAATCCAGCTGTAGTCTACGGTTTCGAACGCTCCAGAGCAAGATTTGATTGTAACTTTCCTGCCACCATCTTCGGGAGCTCTGCGTCTTGTGACGGCCCAATATTATTATTAATAATTAAATTCAATATAAAGGGGCGTCAAAAATAGTCTTAAAATATATATATATATATATTAAGCAATTAAGTTAAATTAATAAACATAAAGTTAATATATTTCAGACATTATCCCAATAACATATTTCATTCGCCGTGTGGAGTCAATCTTGCGCAGACGTGTAAAATACGAACAGTTTAGCTTGGTGAATACGTGCACTCTAAATAGGACCTTAACTAGTTAGTGACTGAGTTCGCCTTTGTGTGTCTTGTGTGTGCAGTGATAAATAGCCTGCGCATCTCTTGTGAATCGCTTACAACGCTGTGCTTGAAAAGGCAAGCTATATTACATCTTGCTGACGTAATGCAACGTACACCGCCATCGGCTACTTTTAAATGTGCATCCAACCCCCGATATTCCTAACTCAGCGCTTAATATCCGAGATACTGATTGCTTTGTCAACCTACGTAAGCGTAAACAACCCGAATCGGATATGGCGAGCTCCGTAGTGGAGGTTGTCGAGCAAAAAATAAATGAACAGCTTGCAGCTTGGAAGAATCGGCTGGACACAAACATCGCTGAAACCATAAGAAACGCTGTTAACGCGACACTTGAGCACGAAATGAGTAAATTAACCTCGTCTATTAACAACTCACTGAAAGATATAACTACTAGACTGGATGACATAGAAAAATCTATCACCTACTCAGGTGAAAGACAAGATAATTTTGAGAGTCGATTGAAGTTATTTGAAGAAAAAGTTGTTGCGGGTAGCACTGTGAATTCCCAAATTGCCGCCTTAGAGAATAAAATTGAATCAATGGAGCAACAGGCAAGGCAATATAATATCGAGATTGCTAATCTCCCGGAACGCCGTAACGAAAATCTTATAACGTTATTAGAGAAAATAGGTGCAATAATAAAACATCCTATCTAGGCCACAGACATTCTCTCCGCTCATCGTGTACCCCATTTTGATCAGAAAAATCAACATCCCAAAAATGTGATTGTTAAATTATCCTCTAAAATATTGCGAGACAACATAGTTCTGGCGGCGAGGGCAGTAAGAGGAGTCAGATCTGACCAACTCTCAATCTCTGGCACTCCGTGTACCATTTATTTAAATGAACACCTGACTCCAAAAAATAAACAATTATTTCGTTTATGCCGTGTCGCTGCGAAAAAGCATAATTATAAATATACTTGGATTAAGCATGGTACTGTACTTGTTCGCCGAACCGATTCATCACCAATATTTGCAATACGTAACGAACAAGACATTGATAAGATCAAGTAGTAACGTCAATAACAATTTGCATTTTTTGTTTTATCGTGTAAAAATATATATATCAGTATCACGGTAAAAAAAAAAATAATAAGTCTACCCTATGTCTATTGTTATTTATCCCGTATCTCTTGTTTGTGCGAATTGCAAATAATAATAATTTTAGTTGTGTGTTCCTATACTGAAAATAGTGCATTAATCTGTTATGATAAAGTATGTCATAAATATCACTGTATGTATTATAATAACTTGTGCGGTTTTAATCTGAGTTATAACCATGAAGTGGAAAATAATTTATGTTTGATGGAATTTTGGAAAACGGTACAAAACATAGCACTTAATTATTTTAGTAAAAATTATTTGGCAACAGTCTCAATAATGGTATATTACATTAATTATATCTCTCAAATTTCATAGGAATTATTCATTCAAAGTGGCTAATAGTTATTTAACACTGTACTACCAAAACTGCAGAGGACTTAAAACAAAACTACACACTCTTTACACTAATGTTATCTCCAGTACCTACGACATAATAATCTTAACAGAAACTTGGTTGCGTAACGACATCTCCGATAGTGAATACATTGATTCTAGGTATCAGGTGTTTAGGATGGATCGGGACCGATCGACCAGTGGCCGGCGGGATGGAGGTGGCGTGCTTGTTGCCGTGTCGCGAGCGCTCTGTGCTACTGCACTCGTGATGCCCGCCGCCGACGTACCCCTCCCACCTCTTGTTGACCAGTTGATGATTCAACTCAACATAGGAAAACGTAAACTGATTATTTGCGCTGTGTATATCCCACCTAAACAGAACTATGACACATACCGTGCTTATTTAGACGTTTTACACAGCGCGGTGCACGATTTAGATACTGACATTTATATAATAGGTGACTTTAATCTGCCTAGTCTAAAGTGGGAAAATAAAGGCATTTTCACTCAACCAATTATGAATTCTGATATAACTCCAACGCACAGATACTTAATTAACTTTATGTCATCACTTGAATGTTATCAGTTGAATTCGTTAAAAATTATAACAAATAATATATTAGACTTATGCATCAGTAATAATATAAATAGCAAAACTTCTCCTGTACAATTACCTTTGATTCCACCAGATGGACATCACCCTCCGTTCCAGGTAGTTGTATCTTTTGTTGAGGAACTCAAACGCTTGAAAAACAAAAACTATCTTAAATATTGTTACAAACACGCGGACTATGCAAAAATTAATGAAGAAATAGCAAATACTAATTGGAATCTTCTCTTCATGGAAAAAGAAGTAGAGGAGGCAGTTTCTAATTTCTATGAAAGGATATATGCAATAATAAAAAAACATGTGCCTACAAAAGTTATTAAATCGTCACTTTTTCCTAATTGGTTTACTCCTGCACTTATCAATTTATATAAGAAAAAGGAGCGTGCCTGGATACAAATGAAAAGATATAATACGGAATCAAATTATTGTATTTTTGCTATACACAGAAAACAATTTAAAGAAATGTCGGATCGGCGTTATAAAGCTTACCTCAAACATGTAGAACACAGTATAAAAAATAACATTAAATTTTTCTGGACATACATTAATAATCGTAAAAAAGAACTCAGATATACCCAACACAATGCACTACAAAAACGTAACTGCCAATACACCTTCTGAAGTATGTAGTCTTTTCTCGACGTTTTTCCAATCAGTATTCGAACCTTCTTCTGTACCAGACAACTTTGAAATTAAAGATATTAATATAGATGACCGCCAAACGCCTGATACCTTAATCTGTAGTTTAGAAATTTCAAAGGAAGAAGTTCATACCTCAATTAAAGTGCTTGATGTTAATAAATGACATGCCTATTTCTTGAGACAGGCTGCTGATACTATTGATGAACCTATATGCTATTTATTTAATAAATGTTTACGTGATGGTGTCTTTCCTAAGAAATCTAATTAATAAGAAATCAGCCAGAATCGTCCCTGTATATAAAGGAGGATCCAAGAAAGACGTAGAAAATTATAGGCCTATTTCTATTTTGCCTACCCTGTCGAAGCTTTGCGAAAGATTAGTACATAAAGCTATTTACCCATGTCTCCATAGTTCCATTGTACAGCAACAACATGGATTCGTTGAGCGTCGTTCCACGATTACTAATCTACTTATTTATACAACGGATCTCTTTGAAGGACTAGATACAAATAAACAGATTGACAGCGTGTACACTGATTTTTGCAAAGCTTTTGACAGGGTGGATCATAAAATCCTCCTTCAAAAGATAGCCTTTAATGGTATACGAGGAAACCTTTGGAGATGGTTTAAATCTTACATATCGAATAGAACTCAAAAGGTCGTTATTAAGGGATTCGAATCTCCATGTGTAAATATAAGCTCAGGTGTACCACAGGGTTCCATTCTTGGCCCTTTACTATTCGTATTATTCATTAACGATATTAATAAATGTTTTGATCACTGTAAGTTTCTTTTATACGCAGATGATTTAAAGATTTACAAGATTATTAACACTTTAGATGATCGTGTTAAACTCCAAAATGACCTGAATCAACTCTCTTTATACTGCAGTGAAAATAAACTTGAACTGAGCATTAATAAATGCAAATCCATAACTTTCACAAGAAAGAGGAATTTTAGTAATTACTATTATTCACTTTGCGGAATAACCTTAACAAAAGAAAACACTATTAAAGATCTTGGAATCACACTTGATAGTAAACTACATTTCGATGTACATATAGAGAACATTATTAATAAAGCATTTAGAATGTATGGGTTCGTCATTAGGTCAGGTGTTATGTTTAAACAAACTTCTACATTCTTATATTTATTTAAATCATTGATACGTTGTCAGCTAGAATACGCTGTATCAATATGGAATCCACTTTATGAAAAATACAATTATATGCTTGAAAGGATACAAAAGAAATATCTTCGATACATACATTTTAAATGCCACCGCAAACGATTGTCGTATAATTTGTTACTAAAAACATACAATTTAATCGATCTTAAATCTAGACGCACACAACTTGAAGTAATGTTATTACATTATCTTACTCATAATAGATATGACTCTATAGAAATATCAAACAAACTTTGTTATAGCGTACCTCCTCGATCATTAATGAGGTTTACACGTCCGCATAGATTGTTTGCAACCTTATCCTGCCGAACGAATGCGGGCATTCGTTCTCCACTTCACCGTATGGCCAAAACATACAATAATATTTTCAATGATATCGATATTATTGCATTACGACATACATCTTTCAAGAAATTAGTCATTGATAGGCTTGGCTTAGTAACACATAAAAAATTATTTTATTTTCTTCCTGTATATCGCAAGCTTGGTTGTAGATTCATGTACCTGCCAAACACGTCTCCGAACCCAAGGTTGCAGCTGCTGTAGGGCAGCCAGGCTTGTGATGCCTTGTCTATTTGGCACTGTCTAGACATCCAGCTCTGATTGTTCACATAACTCATCGAAATCACACGCAATAACACATACACACCTACCTCCACTCTTAAACACACAAACACACGCACACACACACGCACACACACACGCATGCACACACACACACACATGCGCACGTGGACTCATGCACGCGCGCGCGCGCACACACACACACACACACACACACACACACACACACACACATACACACACACATGTATTAATAATGTTTAGTAGTTACTTCATGATTTCTTAACTAGTTAACTAACACTTGTTATAATGTAAGATGAGCTCCACTTTAACACTAGATTATATGTATAATGAGACCAGCGCTGTTGGATTCATAATGATAATTACTTTAGTTTCTTTGTTTTGAATATTTTATATATATTTAATTGTCAATCTGTTTGTGGTCCTTTAAATAAATGAAAAAAAAAACATAGTAAATTAAAGGCAAAATAATTGTTTTTCGTAATAAATAAATTTATTTAAAAAAATTGGAAAAAATATTTAAAATAAGATAAATAATAGAAATACAAGTCAAAAAATATTATAAAATTAAGATAAATAACGTTTATAAGATAATTAGAAAATTTGTTAAAAATTGTTTAGGTCATGGGAGGAGTTCATGTATAAAAGAAAATTCCTTAAGTTGTGGAGGAGTTCACGTATAAAGGAAAATTTTCCTAAGTTATTGAAGGTGTTCATGTATAGATGTCTTGTATGGAGGAGCTGCCGAAGATACATTCCTGCAGTTGTACATATATATGGGGTGGTCGGGAGCCCGACTGCCTGAAGTACTGTAGCACAATGACTAGTCCTATATTAGGGACTTATGATATTAAACTCAATGATACAAAAGCAATAGTAAAGAAGGTGTCCATGATGAATTTGCATTACAATAGTAGGGTCGTGGGTTCGAACCCTATATATTAATGACTTAAGAAAGTAAGGTCTATGATCCAAAAGCAATACTATAGAAGGTCTCTATGATTAATATGCATTACAATAGTAGGGTCGTGGGTTCGAATCCTATATATACATGACTTATGAAAGTAAGGTCTATGATACAAAAGCAATATTATAGGAGGTCTCCTTGATGCATAAGCATTGTATGGGGTGGTCGGGTGACTGACTGCTCCTAGTACTGTAGCAAAATGACTAGTCCTTATTAGGGTCTT